ATATATAACAGTTAAAAATACTCTGTTTATCAGGAAACACTTTTTCTAATTTCAGATTGAAGAATTTTTATTTTTACAAATGACAGGAAATAAGTGAACTCTATAGGTACAGTTGAGGCATTTTTAAGGTTAAAATATGTTTTTTATTATTATATTTATTATCTGAGTAACTGCTGGCTCACATTGGGCAGAAAGAGGAGTAGTATTTAAATATTGCAGTTCTCACAGCTGCAGTAAGGATGTGTGAAGATATTTTTTCAATCAGGGATTTAACTTCCCTGCGGTCCTCACAAAGTGCTGTAATTTGTTTGAATTGTTTGCTGTCAGTCATTTTTTGCAGGAATATGTGTCACCTTCTTTTTCTCCTGCACCGACAGATGTGTGTTTTTGTACAGAAACGACTCATTTACATTTTAGAGGACTTGTTTGTTGTGTTGTAGTTTGATCTGATGGATGAAAGCGTTGCCTATTTTGTGCCAATCTGAATAATCCTGTGAGTTTTATATTTTTCCTCCCTCCTCTTGATCCACCTGTCCATCAAGGAAAATGTCACTCCTTTCTCTTTCTTTCATTTTTTTTGTCACTGCCTCTCAGGAGAACATTTAGAAGAAATTGTTCTCTCATTCCACCCACTCTCCAACTCCTCACTGCTTCTTTTCTGACAGAAAAAAAATCACAAACAAAAACCTTTTGCATGATTTTAGTGTCTAATCTTTCCTCCTATGATTTTTTTTCCCACTACATACTTCTACTTTTATCCCAGAAACATTTCTTTATGCAGAAACGACATTTTAGGAGCCCTTAATAGTAACTATTAACCCTTAGATTGACTGGATATCATATAGCAGGGTTATTCAACTGGTAGCCAAAGGTTGTGACCAAAGTTCAGCCCGCTAATTGGTTCATTCGTCTCTCAAGTCCAAACCCTGGTTTTCTACTTCAATTACTCTATTTTATTTCAACATAGACGTGTTTGGTATCTACAGAAACATCAGAATCTTGGCTACAAGTTGGCATAAAACCTTTCTATGAAAATCTAAAATAGTTAAAACTACAAGCAGTTCAAGATAAAATTATGAATGTGAAGATAAAATTGGTTTAAAAAGTTGGCAAGTCAGAGATGACAAAATATTATTTATGTTAAACAGGAGGCATAATGTGTTCTTTTTGTTTTTGATATTGTTTTATTAGGGTTCTGTATGTTATATCCAGGATTAAATGCAGCAAAATAAACAATTTCAAAGGTAACAGATCTTTGTAAAACTTGGTTTATTTACATAATAACTTCAATTGCTGGATGTTCGACACCTTTGCCATTGGTCTGCATTAACTGTGGCCCCCGGAGCATTTTAATTGAATAGCCCTGCTGTATAGCAATAGCATATATGAACTTTGCACAAATGCACAAGAGCTCAGAACTCACCATTGGTGAGCTCAATTGATAGTCCTTCATCAGAGTTAAACAACAAAAAATCCAGGGGATTCTGATGTTATCAGTCCATGAAATGGACGTTATCAGTCCCATTCAATGGCTTCAGAGGGTCCCTGCTGTGCCTTCTGGGCTTCAGACTGTCCCGACAGTGCCCTCTATTGGGTTAATATATCAATGAAAATGAATGTGTAAATAACCAAAACATATTGTAATACATTTTTTGTGTCCATGTTGGTCTCGAACCCTGGTCTCATGCTCTACCCATTGCCCTATTGGAAGGCCACAATATACAACTGTTGAAGGGCGGTGTCTTTAGCGCTAACCATGTCATTTGCTCTAAAGGTAACCTTAGTGGATTTAAGCCTCATATTAACCAGTTTTTTTTTATTTTTCATATTAACAGATAGTGGCTTTATGCCTCATACTAACCAGCTGACAATCGGAAGCCATTCTGTGGGACGGGGAACCTGCTAACCGGCACAGGCGGGACATTCTGAAGTCATTCTAGGGGACTGATAACGCCTAATAACATCCATTTCATGGATGATATGACCTCGCTTTGTGTTTGGGGGTCTTAATTAAAACTAATTGTACAATTATAGGTTATTTATTGGCAAACCCTTCTCCTGTTAGATTTAATATAAGTGCCCAAACCCAAGTTTTTACTTACTTGTCGCTTTTCAACCCTTTTTAGAAGATTAGGAATTCGTACAAGCAGTTATTGTAATTATAAAAAGGCTGAATGGAAATCCTACTTTTCTGATGTGAAAAATGAATCAGCAGTGAAAGAAGACTTCTTCATGCTTCACACTCAGTTTTTTTATATATATATAAAAAGACATTTTTCAATAATCTTTTAGAGTGGTTTTCATCAATAGAAAATCACAAAAAAAAAACATTCAGAAAGCCTGGAAATGTGTCGGTCAGGACCCCTTAAAAAGATTAGAAAAATGTCTGAAGCTTTGATACAAAACAAGATCATTTAAAGAGCTGCTTGTTGACTCCTCATTGAAATCTGCAACATCCAGAAAAGGGATTAAGT